CGGCTCGGAGCGACCTTCCCGCAGCCCGGGGCGGGGCGCGCCCGGCGCGCCGCGGCATTCCCGCCCTGCCGCCGCCTGGCCGCGCGCCGCATGCAAATGAGGGCTCTCCTCATTGGGCCGCACCGGGAGCCCTTTGAAAGAGCGCTCGGCGATTGGCCGCGCGGCAGCGTTAACGCACACGGGAGAATCTCCCCCCGCTTTTTTTTTTTTTTTTTTTTGCCGCTAATGTGTGATGCGTTCCTCTCAGACGATGTGTAACTCTGCGCGCCGGTTACTACAGAAGAAGTAGTTCCCAGTCCCCCGCCCTCCCCGTGCTCGCCCGTGCGGTGGGGCGGGACAGGGCTCTGCAGTCACAGCCGCCGCCCCGCGGGGGCTCCGGCGCAGAGGGGAGGGGGCGGCGGGGACGGCGGGGAGAGGTGTTTCCCCCCCCGCCCTCCCCCGCGGAGGGATATTCTCGGCGCTCTCGCCGCACTCTGCCCGCACCAAAATATTGGGAGTTAAGAGGCGGCTCGGCGGCGCCGCCGGCTCAGAAGCGCGCGGGCAGCTCGGCGGCGGCGCGGTCTGTCCTCCGCCCGCCACGGCTCCACTGCGGCGCCCAGCCCGCTCCTGCCACCGCGGCCCCCGCAGGGGCGGGCTCCACGCGCGGAGCCGAATCCCCCGGACTTGTCTGCCTCCGCGGAGGGCTGTAGTGCTGCCTGTGCCTGCCTGCGCCCCGAGCGGCTTTCGCCGGGTGGAAGAAGAAGCGCGGGAGCGGCGCGTTCGCTGATTGCGTTTCTGCGGAGGACTTTGTGCGACCGACACCTGGACTGCTGCCGGCGGGGACGGACCCCCAAGGACTTGGTGTGTTCCCGCTCCCTGCCGAAGAAGGAGCCGCGCAGAAGCTTTCGGCGGCCCTCCGCCGGCTCCGGAGAGAGGAGAGCCGCGCCGAGCCGAGAGGACGCCGGCGGAGCTGCCGCGGGAACTAACTCGACGTTTCCCCCCCTCCTCGGAAGATGTTGCTTTCCAAGTTCGGCTCGCTGGCGCACATCTGCAGCCCCAGCATGGACCACTTGCCGGTGAAGATCCTCCAGCCAGGTACGAGGCTGGGGTGTCCCTGCCAGCGCCGCGCCGGAGGGGCGCGGACCGGCCGTGCGTTACCGGGGCGTTGGGCTCGGCGTCTCGCAACTCCCGGAGCTGCGTTTATTTTTTAAATTTTTTTATCTTCTTAACAGAAAAAGATTTTTTTTTTTTATAAAGCCTTGGTCGAAACCAGGGCAGCGCACACAGTATGGGTCTGCCGGGCAGGGCTTTTTTTTTTTTACATTATTTATTACTATTATCGTTATTACTGTTATTATTATTGGGGTGCAGCGCGGTTGCGGACATTAACGCTGGGTTTTCCCTCTTGTTTACGCAGTGAAAGTGGAGAAGGAGCCGTTTGATAAAGTCTACCAGGTGGGCTCCGTGCTGGGCAGCGGGGGCTTCGGCACCGTGTACGCAGGGAACAGGATCGCCGACGGGCTGCCGGTGAGGCGCGGGGCGCCGGGCGGGGGCGGCGGGCGGGAGCGTGGCGCGGGAAGCGGCGGGCGCGGCCGGCCCGGCCCTCGGCGGCGGGGCGCAGGCTGAGCCCGCCCCGCCGCTCACGGCGCCTCCGTTCTCCGCACTCCGCAGGTCGCCGTGAAGCATGTGGTGAAGGAGCGGGTGACCGAGTGGGGCACCATTGTAAGTACCCGGGGGGGCTCCGGGGGTGCCGCGGGGCTCCGCCGCGGCGAGGCCATTGTGTGGGCGGTGGGGCCCGCCCTGCTGGCGCGGCCTCTGCGTCGGGAGGGAATTTGGCGGGGGTTCGCCGCCGCAGCGCCGCGCCCGCCCCTCGGACTGCGGCAGCGGCAGAGGGGGCCCGCCGGCCGCGCCCTCCTCCCCGCCCTGCACGCCCTCCCCGCCTCCCTCCCTCCCTCAGCGAGGGGCTGCCCCGGGCCGCGCCACCCCCCGCTTACCCGTGCCCCTTTTTCTGCCCAGGGCGGCATCATGGTGCCCCTGGAGATCGTCCTTCTCAAGAAGGTGGGCTCCGGCTTCAGAGGGGTCATCAAGCTGCTAGACTGGTACGAGCGGCCCGACGGGTACCTGATCATCATGGAGCGGCCCGAGCTGGTGAAGGACCTGTTCGACTTCATCACGGAGAAGGGTGCCCTGGACGAGGAGACGGCCCGCGGGTTTTTCCGGCAGGTGCTGGAGGCGGTGCGCCACTGCTACGGCTGCGGCGTGGTGCACCGGGACATCAAGGACGAGAACCTGCTGGTTGACCTCCGCACAGGCGAGCTGAAGCTCATTGATTTTGGCTCAGGGGCCCTCCTCAAGGATACAGTCTATACCGATTTCGACGGTACGTTGCCTCCCACCCTTCCCGTGCCCCTCCCGGGGTGATCCCCTCCCTAGAGTTGCCGCTTAGCCCCTTTCCAGTGACCAGTCACAGCACGCAGAGCCCCTGATGCGGGGGTTCATATCAGGTCTATCGGTAATGGAAACCTGTGGACCCGAAGCCGCTTAGGGGTGTTCAGTTGCGTAGGAAAGAAGCGATTCCAGGCAGTGACGCAGCAGTTTATGTTTCCCTGTCTTGGAAAAAGCGGGGTTTTTTTCCTAGAGGGCGATCTGTTTACATGGAGGTTTTGCCAGTGTCGAATGTTTCCATGTGTGGATATGCAGTTTTTATATGCGGTGGTTTTTTTTAACTCGGAGTGGTACCTCCCCCGCTCTCATTCTGCCAGTGTCCTGGAAATCCCGCATTGCAGATTTTAAAGCGATGGGGACAAATGCACTCCCTCTTAATGACTTGCTACGGCGGCTGGGGTCGATGCTTTAGAGGTGGGAAAGCTGAACATACGCCAGCATGTGACCAGAGGGAGCATTTCCCCCAGTCCTTGGAGTATGACTGATGTAACGCCGGGGTCTCGGTCCCCCCCGCCCCCAGCTGCCGCACTCACATCTGTTTGTTGTGAAACCCGAAGCCCTGCCACACGTGACCCCCGGCCTCACGAATTCCCCGTTTTGTTTGGTATCCAAGGAGCCCTCGGACACGGGAGGGAGGAGAAGGGGGGGGCGAGTTGGAAAAGCTGCCGCATAGAAGCCCCGGGGGGAGGCCTTAAAAACATAGAAATCGTGAGCGGCCCTATTTTGTTTACTGCCCTGTGGAATTGGATAAAGCAGATTAGCCCCGTGTAATGCGGGCAGACCTGAGTTTCACCTTCTTGTCGCCCTCTCCTCCTCCCTGCCAGCCCCCTTTGTCCTTTTGTGTCTATTTTTGGTGTGATGCTGCAGACGCCACGTGGTCAGTGAAAGGGAGCTTGCCTCAGTAAACAGTCAGCTGATGGGGCTGTGTTATTCCTTGCAACAAAATAGAACAACCGGATGGGCCAAGTCTGTTGATGGTGTAACCCTGCAGATGACCTGAAATTACACTGCTAATGGCTTTGGCTTGTGAAAAATTTAAAGCTGTTTAATTTTCTGGGTTTGGTGGTTTTGGTTTGGGGTTTTTTTTCTCTTTTTTTTTTTTTTTTTTTTTTTCCTAAAATGTCAAGTTTTTGAATTTATTTTAGCACTGCCAGAAGGAGCTGAACAATGGGGAAACACTTTAAACCTTTACTCTAATTGTGTTGGGGTTTTTTTGGTTTTTTTTTCCTTTCAGGAACGAGAGTATACAGCCCTCCAGAGTGGATCAGATACCACAGATACCATGGGCGGTCAGCAACAGTATGGTCTCTGGGAGTTCTGTTATATGACATGGTTTGTGGAGACATCCCTTTTGAGCAAGATGAAGAAATCTTGAGGGGGCGATTATACTTCAGGAGAAGAATTTCACCTGGTAAGTTCTGCAGAAGTCAAATGGGTTTTTTGGTTTTGTTTTTTTTTCTTTTAATGGTGTACATGTGAGCTTGTGTGGGTGGGTTTTTGTTACTGAGGACTGTCTTTTTTTTTTAACTTTTTTAGTCTAATATGGCTTCCTTTTTTGTTACAGAATGTCAACAGCTGATCAAATGGTGCCTTTCACTGAGGCCTTCAGACAGACCAACACTTGAGCAGATTTTTGACCATCAATGGATGCACAAATCTGAAGTAGTGAAGTCTGAGGACTGTGACATAAGGCTACGGACTCTTGATACTGATGTATCTAGCACAAGTTCAAGTAATGAGAGTCTGTGAATTACTAAGGACCTCGCACTGGGAGGGGGAGCTTCAAGCAGAAAGACCACAGTGCTGCTGCCAATACATAGGAGGGGCTAGAAAAATGCATTCATTATTCTGTAGTTGAATCTTTGTCTGAGGGACTTGATTTTGTTTTCCCCCTTTGCTGGTTTCTGCTTTGGAATGAGAGATTTCCTTTGGAAACGCTGATGTTTGGGAGTTGCAGGCCAGTACTTAGTCAAAGACTGACCTTATTAAGAAAGCAGTGACCTCTTGAATACATGGTAAACTTTTTTGCTCTCATAGAGCCTGGACTAGATTTTATTTGCTTTTGAGTGCCTTTTTGAAAGCTGCTTCAGTGGGACTTTCTTTTTTGAGCTGTCTATGTCCAAAGAAGATCCAGTTCATTATAGGAATTTGCTCCCTTTAGACTGAGTGCTGGAGGAAGCAGCTCCTATGATGCATTGGAGAACCTGTTCGGTGATTGAATGAAGTAGTCCCATCCACTGGTGATGGAATACTTGAACTCAGACATTTCACTCCTGCCCCCCTGCCCTTTACAAATCCAACCCACCTCTGCTGCTCAAAATATTTCCTATAGCCTGCACAGAAATATGAACAGGTATATCGGCTTCTTTATCAGAAACATTTATTCATGTTTCCTTTTATCATCTCTACCATTGGGCATGAGAAGCCCCTTTCTCAACTCCCCCAGCCTTTTGTCACCCTGCGAGTCTTAAAGTATGTATGGGCATGTTGAATGCACAATCAATGCAATATTCAAGGACTTCTACTTTTTTTTTTTTCCATACCTGTATAATGTGTTTATGTAAACTTGGTTTTTCCCGTGTACTATACAGTTATTTATTGTTTGGATTTTAGAAGACCTCCCACAGTTTTCAACTGTGGCTATTTATTTGGTTAATTTATTTGGTTAGAGTTACTCAACACTGTGCTTTCCCCTCCTTCTCCCCATGGGAATTCTAGTGGTTTGCCCATGGCACTTTTTTTTTC